TCTGTTCTCCAGCCTGCTGCATGAAAGCGATCCGGGGACACTTTTCATCTGCAAAGATGCGTCTTTGTGACACGTCTGTTAGCTGCATCCTGAGAGGTGATCCGTTTTCCTCTTCATGCTTCCATGCCTCCCCTGCTGTTCACGGACTCTGGAGGCTGGAACCCCAGGAGTTCTTGTTTTGTGCTGGAGCGGCCGGCCGCGCAGGGCCTCTCCCACCCTGTGCGCGTGCTCAGGGTTGCCTTCCCGTCTTCTCTCCTGTGCTGCGAGAGGAGCTGCAATCCGTGGCGTGGCAAGAATATACCAGTTCAGAAGCATCGCTTGTGGGTTATGGCTCATACTGCGTCTTATGTATTGTGTAGCAGTCTGACCATCACAAGAACTGCTCTGTGCCTTTATGTATTTAGAGAAATAGTCTCTTATTTTTGGATACGATTAAATGTTTTTAGAGTGATCTTTTTTAATTTAAACCATTCGTGACTGTCGCGCAAGCACTAAATCGGGTCATTGAGAGCTGACTGACCACAGGGGACGAGATGATTTGACCTGTGAAATGTCAAGCCTGGTGGAAGTCAAGAACATAAAATAGGACGGGACCACTATGTCCTGTTTGTCAAGAGAACAAGACCTTTATGCCTTTTGTCATGTTGGAGCAGCAACCGCCAACAGTGGAGTCAGGTCTGCTCGAGTGCTGAATCAAGATTTTGTGTCGAACACACCGATGGACAGTGTGAAACAATCTGTATGTACAGAACGATTCCGTTAATTGTTGCATACAACAGACCAGTTGATTGTAAGGTTTAGTATGCGGGTCTGGGCAGAAGTGTCTAGTTGCTACCAAATTCTTCTTGTAGTGATTGGTAACAACCTGACTGCCTTGATCAAGTATGGGGATCTCACTTGCTGCCCTTCCTGTGTGCTTATCCTGACATCGTTGCACTCCAACAGGGCATCATACCTTCTCATGTTGCTCGTTGTGACAGCAGCTTTCTTACTCAACAGGCCTGAGCCCCAGTGAGCAAGTGCAGGATGGGACAAGCTGGTACGAAATGTGGCATCCAGGGCTCAGAGACCAGTGAACAGGCACGGGCTTCTCCAGGCTCTGTGTGAGGAACTGCACAGAATCTGTCAAGACGGGATGATATGGAGCATGTAGCACCGATGTAGAGCTCATACTGCTTCCAGCAGTGGCCACGGATGCTTCTGGCCTATGATGTTCACAGCCAGAGCCCCTGTTGATCAACCCTGCCGATGACAAATGTCGACCAGTGCAAAGAACGTGCCTATGTCATGTCTGTGCAATACAGTGTCCGTGTACTTGCTGCCAAACAGATGCTCAGGCAGTTCTCTTCCCTAGTCGTACACCAGACTTTTCTGTGTGAGCTGCTCTGGGATCAGTTTGCAAGGGAAAGGCGCTGGCGTCGGAGACTAGCAGAGCCAGCCTTGGCCATGTGTGAGCAGGCTTGACGCGAAGACTCGCGCTGCAGCTTGACCTTTACAAGAAAGCGTGGATCGCAGGCAGTGGGGCAGAGCCCAGCTCTCGCCTCTCAGGGCTGCACTGCAGAGGAGCAGCAGGCCTGGCAGATGTTCCTCAACTCTTCCTCTTTTTTTTTATAGCTCTTGAGGTATGAGTGTGTGGAGCCGGAGGGCGGGGGCTCTGAAATGTGAAAAGGAATTGAGCGGCGTGTTACATGCCCTGTACACGGAGGGCAAGAGTTTAATCTCAGAGGTGCTACTCTGGATGCAAACAGGAAAACGCAAGCTGTTGGATGACCTTAAAAAAGAAAGGCTCAGCCTTTTTTTTTTCTGAAGAGCTTCTCTTTTTTTCCCCTCTCATTTGTTTTGATTGCCCTGGTGCCAAGTATGACCCAGAGTGCAGTGGCTGTGCAGATCCTCACCTGAGCCGTGTCAGTGGTGGTGGGTGGGAGTATTATATAATTTGCTAGTTAAGAAGGCTGTTGCAGATTGCAAACATTTATGCCCATTAATTATTAGATGCTCCACAGCCAGACCTGCCTGGATAAGGTACATGATTGAAAGGAAATTAGCTTAGTGTCTAATGACAGTTTTGATGCAGAAGAGGGCTTTCAGAACTGTGAGATGTGAAGAACAACTTTTTTTTACCCTGGAAAGACTTAACCAGCATTCTCTCTGAAAAGAGCCAAAATGTCACCAGAAAGCTGGATTGCTGCCGTCAAAATGCAATTAACCTCTTTGCCTCGGAGGAAGCTTGTCTGATTTGGCAGAAATTGCATTTCTAAAGAGGCTTACATTTTTGAGAGACGTGCCCAAAAGCAAACAAAACAAAAACATTGATTTCTGCTTTTTTAATTAAAAAAACAATGTCATTAAAGTAGCAGATCTAGAATCTGAAATGCAGTAGATCAGAAGAAAAACTTTTACACAGGACTCTGTTAGCATACTGCTTGGATCACTTTCTTGTTGGTGGTCCCTGTGGAGCAGGAGGAAGAACAGTCCATTACCTTTTCACTTGGAAAAAACATGAACGTGGCTCTGGGCTGAAAGTGAAATCCCTGCTACCTCTGCCTGCTAGAAACATTTATCAGAGCAGAAAAACATGTTTTGGTCAATTGTAAAGTTGTATTCACCGTAAGAAATAAGAGGATAAAAGTTTCAGTCTGACTTTTAAGTTGCTTCTGCAAGTAAAGATGGTTTGATCATTTTAAGTGCAGCCTGCAAGCGTGTGTACTTCTTCTGATCACTGAAAGGATGAGGCAGTCGGTTAGCTTGACTAGGTGTCCTTGTTGCCACCACATCTCTGCAATCACACACCCCCTTTCGCCTCTCTGCTGGACCTCGCATGCGTTTGAGAATGCGAGTCTTCTGCCTGCTGCCCGTGGCAAAATAACTACCCTGCCCCCTTGCTCTCTTGATAAGATAAGATCACTTTATTGGTCATATACAATTTCTTGCATTAGGAATTAGTCTTTTTCGCATACCCCAGCTTGCTCTCCATGAGACACACAGACACACAGACAGGGAGAGAAGCTGGGGGTCAGAGCGCAGGGTCAGCCATTGTACAGCGCCCCTGGAGCAGCTGGGGTTAAGGGCCTTGCTCAGGGACCCAACAGAGTAGGAGTCCTCTGCCGGCCGCGGGATTTGAACCGGCAACCTTCCAGCCACAGGCGCAGATCCTGAGCCACAGTGCCACCGCTCCGCTCCCCCTTGGTCCGGCTTCCTGAAAAAGACGGGATCACTTGGCGAGTTTGGCATCTCTCCCTCGGCGTCCTCTCCGCAGAGCCCAGGTCCGCTGTCCCTCTCCTTTGCTGACGCCGGCCTCTCTGTCTCCGTTCGTCCCCACAGGTTCTGCATGCAGAAGAGTGCCAGGCTGGTGCCCGGGGTGACCCTGGACCTCATCGAGAAGTAGGTGGCGCTGGGTTTTTCTGCTCAGCGCAAACTCTCGCAGTCGCCGCCGCTCTCCAAGTTCGAGTGCGTCTTTGAGTGTCTGTTTATTTGACCCTTTCAGCCCAGTTTGGAAGTTTCTGCAGCTGCTTTGTCTTTGTTGTTATGTATTTAATAAAGCACAGGTATATTTTATTCCACAGCTGAAAGTTGAGTTCTGTCACAGCGTAGCTCCAGGGGAAGGTTAGGATGATTAATGTTTATTGTTTCTTTTATGCAGAGCGGATGGAGAGCCTGTTTTTGTGTAAGAAAAATAATTCTGTGCCGTTTGTCAGTACCTGAAGCTGGTAATACACAAGGGAGAGGGGGAGTGTTGAGTTAATTGTATAATTACACTGTGCAGGGAGTAAGCAGTGACCCTGTATACAGTCCAGAAGTGTCATTTCAATGAAGTGTTCAGGCCATATTTAGGATTTGTGTTGGGGGCGGGGGCTTTGAGTTTCTTTCCTGGTTGTCATCTTTAATTCAATTAAGACATTCAACTGAAGTAGCCTGGTCTATCCAAACATCTGACAGCTACATGAACATAAAATTAAGGCCCGTTTATTTATTGTTATTACCTGTCAGGAGGAAAGGGCGTGCTCTGCTAAACACACGACTTTGCAGATTTCTGAGTCGGCCTGACCTCTCATCTGTACTAGAGTTAGTTCTCCCTTGCTGTTGAAGTCGCAGCTGGGTAAGATGGAGTGTGCCTGCCGAGCTCCTCTTCAAACGGAGGCTCCCTCCTCCCGCAGAAGGCAGAGAAAACTACACACTGGAGACTGAAGCACAGATCCCGTCCCAGGCTTTAAACAAGTAATAAAAGGCAAGCAGAAAGGCAGAGGAAAGAGGAATGCCTTTGAAACTAGGGTTTTGTTGTTCCCCCAGCTCACTGAATTGAGAGTATTTATTTCGTCTTGAAAGATATTCTTTAAGCTTTTAAGTCAAGAGCATCCTCTATAAATCGGGGATTTCCCTCTTTGATATTTGACAGAAGGCACCAGAGGGAAAAAAAATGGCAGAAAAAAGCTGAAGACAATTGCAGGAATGTAAATGAATGAATAAGTGTTGTGAATCTCACAGTAAATGCACTATTTTAGTTTTAGGCATGGAACACTAATTGTTAATGTAATGTTGCACCGTGCAGTTCATTAAAGTGCTGGTAATTGTTGAAATGAACTGGTAGGTGTTTTTTGCTGACGGAAGTCAGTCTTGGTTTTCAGGAGACTGGTTCCTTAGTGAGGTGCTGTGTCAGGTGTGATACATTCAGGGTCAGCGTGCACTTTTATGGGGTGTATACCAGTGTTAACGCTTGGAACCGAGGTTTCACAATGGACAACTGTACTGAACTCCTGAGGTATTTTGACTGAAGCCTGTTTTTGAGGATCCCTTTACCTTCAAAACCCTCAGGCACCTCAGGGGGAAGGATAAGGGGAAATTCTGCTGCAAAGTGCCTTTTGTAAGTCATAAGCGGAACCTCACTGATTCCCTCCTCCCCCTCTGCCCGTGCGTTTAAGGCGGCAAGTGGGTCCGTTCTGAGTCATAAATTGTCAATGAAAAGGTGGAGCGGATTTGAACTACAGGAAGGAATCAAGCAGCCCTCAGCAGGCTGTGGGCAAGGCAGGGCACTGACACCACGTTCCACCGCAAACAGAGGCTCGCTCCTTGCGCGCCGCACTGGCGAAGGAACAGCGCAGGTCCTGTCCCGCCCCCCCCCCCCCCCCATGTCGTACTTCCTTGAATGTCCCGTGCAGGCTGCCTGACTCAGGGCTCAGAGGGCACGTGAACGTGCGGGACATGGACTGGGCCCAGACTTTGTGCCCCGGGGTCAGGAGTTTCATCCATACAGAACATGCCGGCAGTGCCAGAAGGTTCTGTTTGTTCAGACATGATGGAAGAAGATGGAAGAAGTGGGAATGAAGAGATGTCAGGTTCTGCCTTTATTATCATTTTTTTTTCTTCCCGTCCTTTATGATCTAGCAGTGCGTGCTTGCTGAGCTCCCACTGCCAGGGACTGGTGTTTGCACAGCCTCGGCACATCATTAAGGAATGTAATAACTGTGTCAATTAACACTCAGATTTGCATAAAGCGCCAATAAAGGCGCCGTGATGAAGTGAAAATGATAAGAATCTTAGAAGTTTGAGAATATCAACCTAACAAAGATACATGGCTCGAATCTGTCATCGTGGAACAAATGAGTTTGAAAACGCCGTGCTCTCTCCGCAGAAAGGCCAGGAAACTTTCATCCACAAATGTAAACCGATTAGTCTTTCATTTCTCCTGGGAGGAGAGATGCAAGTCATCTGTGCCGCCGCCTGCCTCCACGGCACTGTCTAGTGTTTTGACCTGTTGAGTATCTGAGGTTTGCGATCCCTGTGTTTTGAATCCGCTGCTGTGCTCAGTCATGTCAGCGAGTTCTGCCTCTGTCGTGCCGGTTTGCTCTTTCCAGCACTGCTCTGTGTGCCTTGCTCTCTCAAGTCCATTAGGATGATGTATGGCAGCCAGACACACTTAGTTGCACATGCTAAATCAGCACCTAGAACATTAAGCAGCTAAATAAGCAGAGGAGAGATAAGGACTGGAGGCTTTTAGAAGTGTAACTTGGATGTTTACGATCCGCTGTGCTGTCCAGGGTCCGTGTAATTTTTGCCTGTAGCTCTTTTAATGTTGCCAGGTTTTTAAAATTATTATTCAGGTCTTTATCAAACAGCAACTTCATCCATTAATTTTTCTTTCTTGACATGGTATGCTTTCCCCACCCCCCGTTGCGCTGAGAGCTTATAACCTCGGATGGAAGTGGAAAAGGGCTACATGTTCTCTACAACCCTTTGCATCCCAAAAATATGTGGGGCTGCGCTGTTCTTGTTTTAATTGCATGCTTGCATGTCAGCCATGTGAACCCCTGGATATGCACAGCAAAAGTTGCCATGTCACTTGCAAGGACACGTACAAAAATGTTCAGTTCTTTTGGACACTTTACACTTCATGACCACTGTGTCCTTGTGCATCTTGAGGAGAAACTGACTTCATTCCTGGATAAATGAATTGGCTATCCCCATTATTTTTAAACTTAGAATACTTTAAATACTTGCAAGATCCTTCTATTTGCAGTTTTCTTTTATGACGCAGGAGGAAGGTTGTGTGCATTGCATGTGCTTTAATGTGTACGTTCCTGTAGTTTAACTTGCTGTGTGGGAGAAAACAGGAGTAAGGGCTGGGCCTAAGATCTGGGCTTTGCGGCGCAGTGCAGATCAGATCCCATGACATCCGGGATTTGTTAACGCATCAGGCGAGAATTGTTATCTCAGGAGAACCTTTTAAATGGCTTGCAGGAAACGTACATAGACATTTAATTGCAGATAATATCCAATAACAAAGCTTCTGGGTTTTCTTAAGTCTGCAGACAACCACTCGCAGGATGTAGCCCTTGCTAATGTTCCTGGCGGCAGCAATAAGGGACACACATCCAAGCCAAGGAGTGGCTTCCCTTGCATGAAAGCTGGACGTTAACCTGCGCAATTTTCCGGGACCGACGCAGAAATCCAAGGACACTACAGCTGTAGGCCAGCGATTTACCTGCTGCGCAGGGATGGGGTTGGTTTGTGCCACCAGCTGCGGGCTGGCACCTCTCGGCGTGAGGGGTTCACCGTGTTGTCGGCCAGGGGTCCCAGGTGGTCCCAGGTGGTCCACTGCAAGTGCTCTTCAGAGAGCAGGTTGACCCCCGTGTCCTATGTCTCGGCCAGGAGGCCGCTGTGACCGGGATTCCCTCAGCGGTGACACAGCTGGGTTTGGGTCCGGCCGGGTGGGGAGGCTGTGGCACGGACAGGCCACCCAGCAGGCTCCCCCAGTCTTGCGGTGCCGTAAGTGACAGCTGTGGCAATCGTCTCTTCCTTGCTAGGTCACAGCTGTAATGCTTCTTTGATTCCCCGTTGCCGAGTTTTTCCCCCCGAAGGGGCAGCAGTTTCTCTCCCCCTCTTCCTCAGTTCTTTCCAGTCTGAGCTGATGAGAATGATCAAGTAAATTTAGCACTGTTATTGTTTTATAGCCGTCGTTCATCGATTACACGCGCAGTAAGCCAGTAAAAAGTATTTCTATCCAGACGACTTCCGAGGTAAGGTCTCATGCCGAACAGGAATGTGTAATGCGCACACTCGCGTTTTGAGATAAATATTGAAGAAACAAACCAAAGTAAAAACAGAGTGATTATTATCCAAAGTGTGGCCTGGAAGAAAATTATAACCTGCCTGCTGATTCCATCACTAAAGGAGTCATATTTACTTATCATTTGTATGGATTGTCAGTTACCCAATGTGAGAATCCTGCCCTGAGCATAGCGGATCACTAAGATGCTGTACAGAAGATTATGCCTCACGCTGCTGGACAGCCCACTGCGATGAAATCTTCTTACGATATTAATAGAAGTTACGTTGTTCCATGTCCTTTCCCCCTTACGCCCAGCAAAGTCACCTAAGCTAGCAGAAGGTGGAATAGATTTCCTACTGCTTGGAGGGAGGTAACTCCCTTTTCTGTCGGCACGAGTGACGCTGCTGGCTGCCCAGGTTTCATCAAGGTATCCAGACACATCAGTGATCAAAGGATTCAATCAGCTGATGATGGAGGTTTCAGTGATATGAGCCTTGTTTGCCACTGACAGCCCGTCTTATCTCAGTTGCCTTTTAAGTCATTCTCTACTTGTAGTGATGATAGTATTGTTCTTTTGCGTGTAAGTCGGCTGTGTAAAATAATGCCAGGAAAGATAAAAAGACTATATGGTAAAGCAGTGTGCTGTAAGTGATGTGGGCACACTGGAGAGCCCATTTACACCAAGGGCTTACCTTTTGGCTCCTGGCATCATTAAAACGTGAGTCGCTGAAGCAGCTCCCCTTCAGTAATTGAGGGCTATTATTCAGCTTGTTGAAGCAAGCTGACCTTATCACTGTACTGCTGCGACTGCAGCTTTTTTATTATGTGTTTTTTGCCTTTCATTTTCCTCTTAAATGTTCTGTCCTCCTAAATTCATTTTTTGCCTTTTCTGTTGAAGAGCCAAGCAAGCGGCATTCTCTCCTCTCTCTGCTTGTCTCTCCTCCTTCTCCTTCTCTTTCCTCATTCTCTCTCTCCTCTTCTCTCTTCCTCCTCCAGCTCTCTCTTTCCTCATTCTCTGCTCCTTCTCCTTCTGTCTTGCCTTTCTCATCTCCTCTGACACTCTCTGCCCTCTGTCTTGTCCACTTGATGGCCTCTCGTCTCCTGCTCACTTCTTCATCCACAGTGAAGATAAGTCAAACGTTTGCCTGGTCTTGTGCTTCCTTTGTGTTTGCTGTGCTGTTTCTGCTTGGAGGATTGCTGGGCTGTGAAGTGCCAAACAGAGCCATTGGTCAGTGGTCTGAGACTGGCCAGTTTCTGAGCAAGGGAAGTGATTGGTTCCATAAGCGAAAAAGTAAGAAGCAGGATGGGTCAGGCAGGCGTAGAGCAGAGCATTACCCAGTGATATTACCCCCCAGTCTGGGGGGGCCCTGCAATTTGGAGGCCATGTGGTGAAACCTCTGGCCTCTTACCCATCATGCCAGGGGTTTCAGCTGGTGTTTTGGTGCCAGAATGTTGTGAGCTCACTTATAGCATTCCTGGGTAGGTGAGCATCATAAACAAAATTTGAGCATAAAAAAAAATGATGGATTTATTTGAACTGCACATCAGGTTTAGAGGAAATATTTGCAACACTCTTTTTTTGTGACAGTATTGAATGTATCCCAGTACAGTAGTCCTGCTCCTAGGAGTAGAGTATCCAGTGGGGCTTGTGGTAGAATGGGGCACATAAAGAAGTGATGGGAGGGGATGTCACGGCTGGGCGGCTTAGTATTTGGGTGGGGCAGCAGTGAAACAGCCCGCCGCATTCTCTCGCTGCAGAGGGTGGTGCGACACTCAGTACGACTCCCCGCTAAAGAGCCAAAAGTCCTGCTAGTGAGACTCGTCAGGGGAACTGCCAGCAGAAGTGTAAAGCACAGCAAATGGCGCTCTCAGCAGTCACTCGCGTGGAAACGGAGCCTTCCTCCAGAGACTTGCGCTCCGTCGGAGTGTGGGGTGATTTTTTAATGTGACATCTTCAATCATGTTGGTCTTGAATACCCTCTCCGTGCCTTTAATTCAGACCAGTCTCTCGTCCTCTGCTGCACACTCTCTCCCTCTCCTCTTTGCTCCTGCCCCCGGTCAGTTTTTACTGTGATGGCTGCTCCCAACACGTCCCTTGTCCCATAGCTCAGTGGTGTTGAAACCAAGGTCAGAGGCCACAGTGAAGTGAGTGATCTGCCCAGTATCTACATGGTATGGAACGCTTGCAGCATTATCCACCTGTAGTGGGTTTACCCACCTTTGGTTTGTAGTTAAATTCTGCAGAATTATTGTAGCCTTTGTTTTACAGACACATTTAAGCTACTGAAGCTCAGCAGGTGTGAGCCTGGTCAATACCTGGAGGGGAGACCTCCTGGGAAAAAACTAAGGTTGCTGCTGGAAGAGGTGTTAGTGGGGCCAGCAGGGGGCGCTCACCCTGTGGTCCATGTGGGTCCTAATGCCCCAGTGTAGTGACGGGGACACTACTGTAAACAGGCGCCGTCCTTCAGATGAGACGTAAAACCGAGGTCCTGACTCTCTGTGGTCATTAAAAATCCCAGGGCGTTTCTTGAAAAGCGTAGGGGTGTAACCCCGGCGTCCTGGCCAAATTTCCCATCGGCCTTTATCAATCATGGCCTCCTAAAAATCCCCCTCTATGAACTGGCTTCATTACTCTGCTCCCCTCCCCACTGATAGCTGTTGTGTGGTGGGCGTTCTGGCTCACTATGGCTGCTGTCGCATCATCCAGGTGGATGCTGCACATTGGTGGTGGTGGAGGAGAGTCCCCATTACCTGTAAAGCGCTTTGAGTGGAGTGTCCAGAAAAGCGCTATATAAGTGTAAGCAATTATTATTATTATTTAGCTTCACTACAAGATTTTAGGATTTAGAGGACTTGCTGCAACTATTCTGACACCTCAAGGACACTGACAAAGTCCAACAAAGACTTTCCGAATGAACAAGTTTAAACTACAATGTAGGGCATTTATAAGCAAGAATAGCAGGCACATCTTTTCATTCGAAGGGGTGTGGGAGTTAGGAACACATTTAGGGTCTGAGATGAGTTTAATTGTAACGAAAATGGGCAAACTGAAGGAGACGCACACAAGGTGTATTTCATAATCCTCATATAAGCTCATAATCCGCAGGGCGATACTTTATCGATGGCCTGATGCCGGAGCTGTCACTTTTATACATGCAAGTTTATTGAGTCTCGCATCTAACCGCTCATTTTAACGAAAGCGCCGTGACTTCTTTGAAACCCCGCCATCAGTCATCGCAGCTCTTTTTGTTATTTATAGGCGTGGTGTAAAAATCTTTTCACTCGTCATTCTGCCGCGGTTTTTTTTACGCAACGCTGGATATCGGAATCTGTTGTCGTGCGGCCCCCCCGTGGGGTCGCGGTGCTGATGAAAGGAGGGATGCCGGATGCCTCCTGCGGGCTGCTGTCCCGTTCCGGGGTCGGTCTGATCGCAGACGCAGGTTCCCTGGAGAGCTGCACCAGGTGCAGTGCGCCTTTATGCCAGCCTGGCGTGATGAGAGTCTCTTCACCCCGCCGCTGATGAAATCCCCTCCTTGATGTGATCTTGCTCTGCGTCTCCAGTGCACGACTGCCGTAGTAGTCCTTGCGTAAAAGCCAACCACTGTCGTCATGGTTTTAGCGTGTCATGAAGCTACGTACGTCGCTGACCTGCTTTATGTGTGTCGGCTCGTCAAAGGCAGGATGAGGAGCGTGTTTTTTAATTAATAATCACAGCTGATGAAGAGCTGAAAACGTTTCATACCAAGTCCTTTTCACTCTCAGATCAGATCTTTCTCTGCTAATACTCATTTCTGCTTTTAATCACTTGAGATTAACAGCAGTTTTATTTATGACTCATTATATATATATTATATTAAATTAGTCTGTCTTCTGGAATCGGGGGGAATCTTATTGAGAATGACCTCTTTAAATGGCTCCATAAGGAAATAACAATGGACGAAAGCCACCCATTTTTCACTGACCAAATAAAACATTAGCAAATGAAGCTAAATTGTGTGTATCTGCTGCTCAGGGTAGGTGTTGCAGGTCGGCCCTGAAGCTATGGGGTGTTGAAAAGGTTTGAGCTCGGGTTAACGTCACAGCCACTGATTTAATTGATGCCACTGTAATAGGGGATGGAATTGGAGGGATCATGGGCAGCTGTTGCAAGTCTGCTGTCAAAATAACAAGTTTGATATCTGCCGATGGCAGCCTGCTGGTGTTCGCATCAGCAGGGGCTGCACCGTATTTCTCTGGGACTGGCTGAAGTGGAGCTCTGAGGGAACAGCTCCATCCCCGATAGAGGCCCAGGTGAGCCTTCAGCTGTTGCCCTGTTGCGTTGGCAGGATCCCCGGCCGGCTCAACGACAGGCGCACCCCGCTGGGAGAGCTGAACTGGATCTTCACCGCCATCACCGACACCATCGCCTGGAATGTCCTCCCCAGAGGTGAGTCTGAGCCCCCAGCTCCGCTCCTGGGTTTGATCTTGGGATTGTGGGCTGGTCTTGGGTATGGGATTGTGGGTGGGACTTGGGTTGTGAGGGGGGGGGCGGTTGGGTTTGGGATTTTGGGTGGGACTGAGTTGTGGGCGGGTCTTGGGTATGGGATTGTGGGTGGGATTTGGGGTTGTGGGCGGATTTTGAGATTGGGATGTGGGCAGATCTTGGTTCTGGGATTGTGGGTGAGACCGTGGGCGAGTCTTGGGGTTGGGGTTCTGGGTGGGACTTTGGATTGTGGGCGGGTCTTGTTTAAGACTTGTGGGTGGGGCTTGGGTTTGGCGGTCGGGGCGGGGCTTGGGCCTGGCCATTGTGCGTAAACCAGCTCTCTTGAAATCTGGCCCTTGAGGGCCCCCGTTCACCAAGTCTTGAAATGTTCTTTTAAGCCTTGTCCGTTGGCGACATAGGGAAGGAGTGTAGTTAGAATTAAGAGTTCAATAAGACGAGCTCCGCTAGAGTGAAAAGAGTCTGTGGCCTGCAAGCAAGGGCTGACCTGGAATAACGCTAGTATAGGCAAGCCTCTGGTACTGAATGTTTCAAGCCTGTTTGAGATTTCACAAGAGCCAAGAGAGCCGTGCAACTGGACGTTTCTCTCCCATTCCTGTACTGCAGAGGAGCCAGTGCCCTTGAGCTCTCTGAGCAATGAAGGCAGTGAAAAAAGGAATCCTGTGACCTTGTAATCCTGGAGTACTGAGAGCAATAGCTAAGAGCAGCAGGATTCCAGTCCTTAATCTGATTGAAATTAAACTGAAGATACCTTCCTTTTCTCATTTGCCAAAACAAGTCCTGCTATTGGTTACTGATTTATAATCAAGACTGTTGATTTGTATATTCGTATTATTAAAACAACAGTTATTGGCTTATTTAGGATAGGCCTTGCCTCAGATTAAATGGGATTGAGGTCTAGTGGTTTTTAGAGGGATGTATATGTTAGAGCCGCTTGCTGCCCTTGACTCAGTAACTGACCCACTCCCTCATTCACGATCTGCTGTCACCTGCTTCCTCGCTCACGTTTTCTCTCCTCCTGGGGACTGCAGGGCCTGCAGTGCCACAGCTGGCCAGATGTTGACAGTGCTCTTTATCACCGCAATGCCATCAGGGGTGCAGAAAGCGCACAGGGCTGAAGTGAGAACATACTGTACATATTTTAAAATTTGTGGCATTGAGCGAGAAGTCTGAATATACTGAATATTCACGCTTGCACGTCTTTTGTTGTAGAAGTTATTTTCCCCGAAAACCCTCAGTGGTTCAGTGCTGTCGCTTTGCAAACATGAATCAAGATTTATATCTCTGTGGCTGATTTCCTCTGATAATCCTCATCTAGGGATTGATGGTAATTAATCACCAAGCACTGCAAAATGTGTATAATCACGGCACGTTCTGTATAATCCCCATCACAGACAGATTAAAAATTATTAAAATTTATTGAAGAATTAGAACAGCAAACATTCAGCACACTAAAGTGTATTAAACAGATCAGAGCGCAGATGTGGTCAGAATTGTTCACAAGTCTGCAGTTTAGTACAATAAGATATGGTACAGTTACTTAAAACGCAAGGTTTTAGAGCAGATACTGAACAGTTTTATACATTAAAATCTCTTCAGATGCACTTGTGCTCCGACCAGCTGTTCTCTCTTTTTGCCTCCCTCTCATTTTCAATGTCCAAACCTCCTCCTCTCACTCTTTCCCCCTCTTCCCCTCCCCCTCTCTTCCTGTAGACCTCTTCCAGAAACTCTTCCGCCAAGACCTGCTGGTGGCCAGTTTGTTCCGCAACTTCCTGTTGGCCGAAAGGATAATGAGGTCGTACAACTGCACGCCTGTCAGCAGCCCACGCCTGCCCCCTACCTACATGCACGCCATGTGGTAAGACATCTCACTGTCGCCTGGGGAATCCATGCGCCTTACCTGGTCTCCTGTCTTTGCTCTGTCAGAGCCCATGGTAACAACCATATGTGGACTTACGGTTCCCAGCTGGTGTAGTTATGGCACACTCAATGTAAAGCACAGCAGCATGCGTAAGAGTACTTCCTCAGAGCCTGATGGTACACCTTGGTGAACCCAGATATGGCGAAGTCTTTATGATGGTCCAGGATCTTGCTGGGATGGTCCCAAAATATGCAGGCATACCTTTTGACCCCTCCTTTGGGTCAGGACTCACCCCCCCCCCGTGACTTTGCCTTTCCTAGAGGTTAGGAGCAGTGTGTCATAATCCCCCCATTCACATGGATCTCAGCCATGCCAGGAGTGAAGACTGGCCCTGCTGAGCTCTGTGACTCGGTCTTGCATTCCTGCTTTGCTTTCATGTGGGTGAAAAGAAGATCCTGCCTCTCTTTTGTTAGTTTAATTTTTAACATCTGACTCTTTAATTACAGCCAGTACCAGAAGTGAAAGGGTTAACTGTAGGTGGCAGAATTCTGTACTTGCGCATTCCTGACTCAGTAATCTCATAAATTAAATTTTACAGTCAAATTAAGTGCCTAAGGATGCTGTAGAGAATACATTGTGTGAATTAGGCTGTTATTGTATTATTGGTGTCTATACGTGCTAAATTCGAAGCTGCCTGCTATAATTATCACTGTTGAAAATGAATGTTACTATTTAATATTTGTAATGTTATTTTGAAAAGCTCTTTTCAACACTGCAGCATTCATTCCCCGGCTCTGACTCTCTCTCTCTCATACATCTCATAAAAAGGTCCCATTACATTTCCTCAAACTGTCATTTGAATTTAGCAGCAGGGCATTAAAGTGCAGTATACTTTCTGTCATCCTTTGAACAAAGGCATTTTCTCTGTGTTCATTTTAAACGAATAATAGCAAGTTGTTTTCATTCTCCGTTTTTTAGAGAATGTTTAACGCATGCAGCTGTTCGAGCAGGTTAGTGCTCTGAGGTTTCAGCATGTCTCCGGGGACAAACGTCAAACTCTGAAATCCTCGGCTGTTCACCTGAGTTAGTCTTGTGGCCGTAAACAACATGCAGGCGAAGCAGCTGTTTGAAAGGGACATCAACAGTAGTGTAGTGTTTGTGTAGTGAATTTGACCATTTAAATTGGACCATTCCAGGAAAATGGCCCAACACAGAAAATAGAGCTGGCTAGCCTTTCGTCTGGGAGATGAGCAGTGCCCTCACTGTGGGGGAGTCCTCTGCTGTCTGAAGACGACAAGACGTTGCTCCTTTTGAATAGGCAGGAATATCGGGATAGTGCTGAGGAGAGGGGCCTCTTCAGAATTAATTCTGAAATACGAACCAGGGACCACAAGTGGAAACGGAGTCACAGTGCGTTCAGAGTGGAGGGCAGTCGGCACTGCTTAACACAAAGGGTTGTGGGAGTCATTGTTTTTGAAGCTGATACCCTGGCTTCTTTCAAAGAACCGCTGGATGAGATCCCCAGATCAATTAGCTGGGAAAAACTAACCAAGCTACATAGTCAGTTGGTTGTGAACCATTCTTATTTTCGGAAGGATTTATCTGAAGGTGCTTTGGCTCGAACAGAGGGAGAAGTCGGAGTTAAACTGTGCCGTAGCTTCGGTTCGTTTGCAAATTTTTATTTTATGCGTTTTGTCTTCCTCCTCCAGAGTTCAGACAGCAGCTCATGCGTAGTGAAAGACCAGCAGGATAAGGGGTTCTTTGTAAGCGCTGCGGGCAGCGTGTTAGGGAGTGCTTAGCCTGCAGAGCCTGTTCCTGGTGGATGTAACTGGGTGCTTCTTCATCACCTGCTCCTCTCGTCGCAGCAGGTCGCTCAGACACGGAACTCGTCCTCAGGCGGCGAGCTGAATGAACCACGAGCACCGTCTGATGTTCCCTTTTTAAAAACCCAGTGGAATTCCATTTTAACACAGCCAACAAAATCTTGGCTGCACAATGCCATTGTAATTGGATTTGCCTGGGAGCGGACAGCCTGTGGCCTTCCACTCTTCGCAGCATCCAGCCTGCACTTTCAAGGCTTAATTGACCTTTAATTGCTTAATTGACCTTTAATTGCTTTAATGTCCCTGCTGCTAAAGATGGTTTCAATAATCGAGAACCGGTCTGAATAGAGCCTTGCAGTGGTGTGAAAAGAAAGTCAAGTTTGTTTGCCCTTGTCCTGATTTATGGCTTGGCAGACCTGCTTATAATCTCACACTGTGAGTAGAGTTGATCTAAACTCTCCTTTTCTCTTTCACCAGGCAGGCCTGGGACTTGGCAGTCGACATCTGTCTCTCTCAGCTGCCCACCATCATTGAGGAGGGCACAGCATTCAGGGTGAGCTTCTTAACGTCTTGGAAATCACGGTCCAGGGGTCTCAAATCCTGGCCCTGGACAATTAGAGTCTTTTGGTTGTCATTGATGCTTGTCCTATTGGTTGCTGTAGTTCAGATTGATCTTTAACCTGTTATTGAAGATAAACTATACAAACTAAAGGATCGAGAATCTGGAGGAAGAATGTGACCTGTTCTTTAAATCATCAGTGAAGTTAAATAACCTAGAATTATCTATGAAGTACACAATCAATTCATTTTAGTAATGAAAAGCATAGGGTGGAGCAAAAAACAACATCTGATTGAGAGAGAGA